AATTTCGGACCCTGTGTAACTAATAGTAAGAAGAATAAAAATAAGAAGAATGAGAATGAAAATAAGAATAAGAATAAGAATAACGTTTTCATTAAAAATTAATAAAAATTTTAGGGGCTCATTAAAATTCTTCACTAAAACTTCACATGATAACTATTAACAGCACAAAACTATTTACATGTAACAATTGTATTAAAATCATTAAAAAAGGAAGCAAAATGTACTTTACAGAAATGAATAAAATTGAGAAAACCTGAGAATTGGATTGACTTTAAATGTCACAGAAACGTAGCAAAAGTATTTGCAGTTTGTGTCATCGATTACAGTACATGAGAAGTAATTTTAAAAAACAAAACAAAACAAAAGAAAATTACTCTCAAACTTTACAATACACATTCTACTAATTTATGGAATCTATCTCGTTCCCGCATGAATACTACTAATAAAAATACTATATAATAATAATAGTAATAAAAATAATAATAATCATACATATTAATAATAGCATTTATTTAACACAATAAAAATTACAGCTGCAGAGCTGATGTGTTCGTGTATATGAATTAAAGCTGGTCCTTGGACATGTAGGAATGCTGTTAGGTTCACCCAGCTAATGCTTCAGAGAGACATCCAACAAGACTCCCTGGAATTCAATCATTCATAGAAATATACATTGAATAATGAACAACAGTTAAATGTCACATTGAAATTATCTTTAAGAGCTGTATAGTCTGATATAGGATAAAGACCTTGCCCACTTTTGGTCTAAAAAAGGTAGATGATAATATAAAGGGAAACACAAGACTGATGATAAAATTTAACGGAAACATGAGACAAAAAAAGTGTTAACAGGGCATTATGTAGCTCAGGGGACTGGAGTCTGGATGTGTCATGAAAATTGTGATTTCATCTTACATGTAATCATTTCATCCTGTTGATTAATTTTGTAACTTTTTTGTTTACAGGGCTTTGGCAAGGTATGGAGGACTTCCAAAGCTGAGGCATCTGGATTTATCAGGCTGTCTGCAAGTGACAGCTGAAGGACTTTTGGACTTGGTTTTTGTTTGTCCTAATTTGGATCACACACAGTTTTTCTACTGTGATAATATTGATGAGGGTCCATACCCTGACACAGCCAGTGGATGTCAAAATTTGCAGTGCAAAAACCGTGTCTGTTGTCGTACTGGTGAATGAAGGCTGTAGTAACCCAGCACCCTGTAGTAAAACAGCACCTCTACACTGACATAAATGTATATCTCATTAAAGTAAGAGCAGATAAGTTTGTTAAACTGTTGCTATATTGTCAGTGATGCAACATTTTTCATGAGTTGATTTTAGTTACTTGTATTTCTTATGTTGCTTTAAAATACATGTACATGACTGCATACTTGTAAGTACAAGTCAAGTGTAGGTTTTAGCAGCTGTTGTTTCATGTCAAGCCTGTAGAGCCAGCTGCTTTCATTGAATTGCTCTTTTCAGAATTGAAATTTTGTCATGGTTACTTTGATGTTTGTTGATTATATTTTCAAGTATGTTCAGGCTATAATAGTACATTGTGTAGCTTTGTGTTCATTATTAGTGAAAATACTGTTATGCATTGTTCAGAAATCACCTTTTCATCAGAGGTCCAAGAGCTTACTTTGTCGTTTAAGAAAACATAGTTTTCTTTAGCTCTCATTTAAACCCACAGATAGACATTTGGCATTCTGAATCTGTTCAATTTAAATTTCCAAAACTAATTTTAAAATATTATTAAAACAAATTAGCAGGTCTGGAAAATTAGTAAGGAGATTTTTTGGTTAACAGCTAGTCAATGTTGCTAGCCACAGAATGGAAAATGTCTGTTGTAAGGGTTCAGAAGTGATGCAACAAAAGACATATTTCTGTTTCCATAACAAAACATCTGAAAATCCCTGTGAGACATGTGGGTTTTCCATGCTTAGAAAAGATTAAGAGAAAATAACACATTTGTTTAACAATTTCAACTATCCAAACTCCTGTTGTGTATTTTTTTGTATGGAGGTTGAATTAAAAGCTTAAAGCACATTATAATATGATGAAAAATAAACAAGTTAATTCATAATACTAAAAATGCCATTTGTGACAGCATAATGATGTACATTAGAAGCTCAAAGCACAAGATAAGTGGTTTTACTAATATAAATATTGTAACTTGCCTGACATATTTGTAAGAAGCAGAGTAAAGTAAATAATGAATTCAAAAAAGGAACTGTTTTACTTGATGGCTTTGTAAAGAGTGTTTACTTTCTTTCCTTTCGTGGTTACTGTATTTACTTGATTAAACACTGCCCTCAAATAAACGCTGCATTTAAGAGCAGCAATATTACTTAACACTGCCCTGGAATAAACTCAAAAAAGAAATACAGTAATAATCAAGTTTGAGCATGCCTAAAAAATTTATTTTCCTTGATTGTAACAATGTTTTAATATCAGTGCATTCAAAGCTCAAAGGAATATAATCAAAACCCGAGAACAATATACAGTAGTTCATTTTAAACAAGCTTTGGAAATTTGCTTTCATTGATAACAATGCGTTTCAGTTCAAAGTGAGTATACTTCAATGCTCTTTCAATGCTCTTGCCATATGCCACCCTCAAATAAATGCTGCACTTGAGTGTTGAAAAATTTAGTATAAGCCGCGGCATTTATTCAAGTAAATACGGTAAACTTTTTTGATGCAGTCCACTACAGTTGCACCTCTCTTTACAGACTCCTCTATGATATGGACACCTCTGTTATTGCAGAAAGTTCACTTTGTCCCTGAGAAACTAGAATTGTTGTGGTCCTTTCCTCTACTTTACAGACTCTCAGCACTGGTCCTTTGGTTCTTTTACTAAAGAGATATCACTGTGTATCAATCACAATGATTAAACTTCATTAAATTTGAACAAATCTTTTCTCAATATCCTCAACAGTAGGAAATGATTAACAACTATGGTCAGAAATTTTGTGTTGTTCTCTTGGGCAAGATAACTTAGTCTTGCAGTGCACTCTCCACTCAGCTGAGTGTCAATTGAGTGTCAAAAGTAATCAGGCAATTACTTTGGTTTTGGTTTTACTACGGTTTGAGATTGGCTGAGTAGTCCAAATTGGCAAGTAACTTGTTTGGTTTTGGTTTTACGACACTCAATTGAAAAACTATTCTATGGAAATGGTAACAACAACATTTGTAGGGGTAATGTAACCAAATGGTGAAGGTGACCTAAATATGTGTAGATGTGGATTACCATATTGTAGAGGGCTGGGGAATGGCAATATTAGTGGATGCTTTGCAAACCAGCTGTGCCAATCTTTTAAACCACTAAGATTCAAAAATGCTTCACTGTGTTATTTACAATAACCATAGCAGGACATTGATTTGGAAAACAATGAAGAAAATCGGTTGGCTGCAGGACCCAGCAATTATGCAAGTTTGCAGCCATCATGTTATCACAGTGTGAATTCGTTTGTAACTCGGTAAAATTTTGATGTACTTTCCATGTGCTGGATGACGGGATGTTTCATGTTTTGTGTGTGGGTTTTTTTTTTTTGTCTTTTTACAACAGTAAATTCTGACAAGGAATATCAAATTATCATTCAGTGCAGTAATTTCTTCCTTTTCATTGGCTTAGTGCCCACCACGTGACCTGGAAATAACTGCCTAAAAATAATGTTCTGCTCATGCACAATACAGTCTAAATGTGTGTTGCTGCAAATAATATTTTTCTCATGCGAAATAAAATTACTGCAACCACACTATCGTGAAAAATGGCAGCTTGCTTCCCTGAGCCATCAGAGAGTGATTTAAATATGAAAACAAACTTGGTGATNGTTACATTCTATGTTCACTTTGTTTACATTGAAATTCAAGCAATGATACTACTTACAGTGGCTGGCTCTTGAATTACTAGACAGTAAGATACATTTTGTATATATTCAGTCTTGAATGATTTATTATGTTTCAGGTATTCCAACCGTTACTTATGGAATATTTCACTTTTGAAGAGTTGAAAGAGATCAAAGCCAGAGTTCTTCATCTACATTCTGTTTTCAGTGAGGTATGTAGGGTTTTGCCTTCAAAGAATTTCTTCAGTTTCTAACATTTTGTAAGGCATGTTATTTGTATTTAATTCTTCGGTAAATACTTGTTGACTCAGGACTTCAGAAGAGTAAACCTGAGCTTTCAATCTGCAAAGTTCACTTAAGAAGTTGACGTAATGGCTCTTTTTCAGTATTCCTAGTGCATACTATTCCTGTTGAGATCTGAAGTTAAATCTCAAGAGAGCCAACAAAATAAGTCTAATGTCTTCCACAGTCAAGTTACATATATATGTCATTGCTTTTGGGCAGTTTTTTTTTTTCATGATTTACTCAAAACAGTACTAAGAGCAGATGAAACGGATGCACTACCAAATTTTCAAATGAACATTTAAAGAAATGGATTATTTTTCATGAACTAGAATAAATTTAAGGCAAAAACATTATCACAAGACCTTGTTAAAGTTTGTGAAATGAACAACCTCAAAGATTAAGTCTGACAAATTTAAATTTGTTGATGGGGTTACCGGTAGGATGCCCTTGACATTATGTGTTGATTAAATTTGTGACCAAGTCTGTTTTTTTTCTTTCAGCATGCCAAAGCCCAAAATACAGAGTTTTCTTTTTGCTCTTCACAAAAAGACAATAAACAAATTGACAGTTTTGATCAAGAAAGTGATAACACTGACTTTGAAAAATCTGCCTCACAAAGGACTAACGTGAGAGAACATTACTTAAAAGAAAGGACTTACTCAAAGACTAACACATCCACTGTTAAGGATGTTGAGAATTTAAAAAGGACTTTGACTACAGATGATGATGTTGTGGTTGCACAAGACCAACCTTTGCTTCTGCATTTTCCTGCTGAAGTCACATTGAAGATTTTCTCATACCTGGGACCTAAAGACTTGTGCCACTGTGCCCAGGTTTGTCGGCTTTGGTCACAATCTGCTAGAGATGGTGAGTTGTGGAGAGAGCTGTACCCTGTGCGTTGGATCTTCAAAAAGGATTGGCGGTTTGGGGCAGACAGTGAAGATATGTGCAGTTGTAACTGTGATTCTGAGGTTCAAACTTTGGAGTCTACAACCTTTAGCAGGTAAGAAATATTAATGGGTTATCATTGTCTTTCTTGTTATCTTTAACTCATCCACTGACAAAAGCCTATTGGCTAAGCCTAGAACATTCTGATTTTTTTGCTAAATTTTTTTATGGTGCTTTATGAAACTGAACTTCGTGGCATCATATCCACTCAGACTGACAATATGAAACTGTTTTGGAGATTGACTTGGCACATTTACTCGAAATCCTGTGAACTTGAGAGGTAGAAAGTGTGTATTTACTTGTACTGTAAGATCANTTATTATTATTATTATTATTATTATTATTATTATTATTAGCGGAGCTCTGGCGGCCCGACGGAGCCCCATACACATATAGGAAAGAAAAGGAAACCCATGAATTGATTTTCTCATATGGTTATCATGGCTAGCGATATTGCTTGTGGGCGCGTATGTGTGGCGACGACGGAGTCGCCCAAGATGGCAGCCATGCTTATAGGCTGACAGAGACACGCACCCTCAGTTTGTAGCATCCCTGTTTGATATTGGACATCCATGTTCTGGTCAATTGACCTGTCAAAACAAGGTATCCATGGACCAGTATCATGTGACCATATCGCAGGCTCAAGTTAAGAGTTCAGCAAGGTCACGTGTTTTTTGAAGTTGACTGCTGACTAAGTGCTTGTTTTCAACTGAATCGTGGGCTCATGTCAGGTTAACGTGTTAGCCGGGTTGTTAAAAAGCCGGTTAACGCTAACCCGGGATTATAGAAGTTAAGCGAAGTATAATTTTTCTTGTATTCAAATGTTTTTCGCTGTTTTTATTTTGTGTATTTTGAGGACCTTAAGATTATTCAAACTCAAAACAGAAGGCCAAACAACAGAAACAGAAAACCTCACCGTAAAGTTACAAAACTCAAATCAAAATTCTCGCATATCCTGGGTTAGTTTAATCGGGCTTTAAACAACCCGGTCCAGGAGCTCCGCTTGTAGGCTTGGCTAAATCTATATATTATTATTCAGTGTTGGTCAGGGTCTTCAACAGTTTACATCTTCACTAGTTGACTCAGTTGAACCAAACCCACAATCTATAGTTCTGATATCATTTGAAGTCACATGGGAGGTTGGAGAGAAATGTAAAGAATCTGACTGGGTCCAAATTATACTGATAGAGTCAAAGAAGTTCATGTTCAGCAGTTTACAAAATATGTTATCTGTAGCCAGCTTGAAAAAGACATGGGATTTTGAATATAATGTCATAATGTGGTTTGAGTAGTGATTGACAACAACAACAACTAGTTTATTGTAGCCATCAGAAAAATATATTACAATATTTAATATCATGTCACTGCTAAGAAAGTCTGGAGGGATTGCTCTTCTGTCATTGCTACCACACATTTTCTGGAGAGCAGAAATTATAATTGACAACATTTTGTTGTTTGTTTGTGCCATTGAACATTGCGTTATAGATGCATGCTCGCATATCTCATTTCTTGTAATTTCAGGCTGTTCAGAAAGGGTGGTGGCTTGCAGTTACAACTTCTTGAAGTATCTGGTTGCAAGAACATCACAGATAAAACCCTGTTCAAGTTGTCGTCCTCTCTGGGAAAACTTCCTGTTGGATCAGGAATCTCTGATATTGAAGACAGCAGTTGTGACTGCCATACACAGTGTTCATGTGGTAAACTGATAAGCATCACTCCAGAGACTGCTAAACGAGGGCTTGTTTATCTGGGACTGTCTGGATGTTACCAGGTTACTGATGCAGGACTAAGGTAATTTCAATTAAATTTGTATTTCCCAATTGATAACCCTGGCTCAGAGGTTAGTGTTTAGCAACACTGCTTACTGCTGTGTGCTAAAATGTATGTTAATGCAGATTGCTCTTGAGCCCACTGGCTCTGAAAAGTCATAAGTTACCACTCACATGTATAACAACTCCCTACCTGGCTTTCAACAAAATTAATAGCTTTCTATGTGAGATATTTTACAGGTGTAACAGGGTCCGAAACTGCGCTTTCCTGGTCGCCAATGCGACTAAAAATTTTGCACTGNGAAACATGAGACAAAAAAAGTGTTAACAGGGCATTATGTAGCTCAGGGGACTGGAGTCTGGATGTGTCATGAAAATTGTGATTTCATCTTACATGTAATCATTTCATCCTGTTGATTAATTTTGTAACTTTTTTGTTTACAGGGCTTTGGCAAGGTATGGAGGACTTCCAAAGCTGAGGCATCTGGATTTATCAGGCTGTCTGCAAGTGACAGCTGAAGGACTTTTGGACTTGGTTTTTGTTTGTCCTAATTTGGATCACACACAGTTTTTCTACTGTGATAATATTGATGAGGGTCCATACCCTGACACAGCCAGTGGATGTCAAAATTTGCAGTGCAAAAACCGTGTCTGTTGTCGTACTGGTGAATGAAGGCTGTAGTAACCCAGCACCCTGTAGTAAAACAGCACCTCTACACTGACATAAATGTATATCTCATTAAAGTAAGAGCAGATAAGTTTGTTAAACTGTTGCTATATTGTCAGTGATGCAACATTTTTCATGAGTTGATTTTAGTTACTTGTATTTCTTATGTTGCTTTAAAATACATGTACATGACTGCATACTTGTAAGTACAAGTCAAGTGTAGGTTTTAGCAGCTGTTGTTTCATGTCAAGCCTGTAGAGCCAGCTGCTTTCATTGAATTGCTCTTTTCAGAATTGAAATTTTGTCATGGTTACTTTGATGTTTGTTGATTATATTTTCAAGTATGTTCAGGCTATAATAGTACATTGTGTAGCTTTGTGTTCATTATTAGTGAAAATACTGTTATGCATTGTTCAGAAATCACCTTTTCATCAGAGGTCCAAGAGCTTACTTTGTCGTTTAAGAAAACATAGTTTTCTTTAGCTCTCATTTAAACCCACAGATAGACATTTGGCATTCTGAATCTGTTCAATTTAAATTTCCAAAACTAATTTTAAAATATTATTAAAACAAATTAGCAGGTCTGGAAAATTAGTAAGGAGATTTTTTGGTTAACAGCTAGTCAATGTTGCTAGCCACAGAATGGAAAATGTCTGTTGTAAGGGTTCAGAAGTGATGCAACAAAAGACATATTTCTGTTTCCATAACAAAACATCTGAAAATCCCTGTGAGACATGTGGGTTTTCCATGCTTAGAAAAGATTAAGAGAAAATAACACATTTGTTTAACAATTTCAACTATCCAAACTCCTGTTGTGTATTTTTTTGTATGGAGGTTGAATTAAAAGCTTAAAGCACATTATAATATGATGAAAAATAAACAAGTTAATTCATAATACTAAAAATGCCATTTGTGACAGCATAATGATGTACATTAGAAGCTCAAAGCACAAGATAAGTGGTTTTACTAATATAAATATTGTAACTTGCCTGACATATTTGTAAGAAGTAGAGTAAAGTAAATAATGAATTCAAAAAAGGAACTGTTTTACTTGATGGCTTTGTAAAGAGTGTTTACTTTCTTTCCTTTCGTGGTTACTGTATTTACTTGATTAAACACTGCCCTCAAATAAACGCTGCATTTAAGAGCAGCAATATTACTTAACACTGCCCTGGAATAAACTCAAAAAAGAAATACAGTAATAATCAAGTTTGAGCATGCCTAAAAAATTTATTTTCCTTGATTGTAACAATGTTTTAATATCAGTGCATTCAAAGCTCAAAGGAATATAATCAAAACCCGAGAACAATATACAGTAGTTCATTTTAAACAAGCTTTGGAAATTTGCTTTCATTGATAACAATGCGTTTCAGTTCAAAGTGAGTATACTTCAATGCTCTTTCAATGCTCTTGCCATATGCCACCCTCAAATAAATGCTGCACTTGAGTGTTGAAAAATTTAGTATAAGCCGCGGCATTTATTCAAGTAAATACGGTAAACTTTTTTGATGCAGTCCACTACAGTTGCACCTCTCTTTACAGACTCCTCTATGATATGGACACCTCTGTTATTGCAGAAAGTTCACTTTGTCCCTGAGAAACTAGAATTGTTGTGGTCCTTTCCTCTACTTTACAGACTCTCAGCACTGGTCCTTTGGTTCTTTTACTAAAGAGATATCACTGTGTATCAATCACAATGATTAAACTTCATTAAATTTGAACAAATCTTTTCTCAATATCCTCAACAGTAGGAAATGATTAACAACTATGGTCAGAAATTTTGTGTTGTTCTCTTGGGCAAGATAACTTAGTCTTGCAGTGCACTCTCCACTCAGCTGAGTGTCAATTGAGTGTCAAAAGTAATCAGGCAATTACTTTGGTTTTGGTTTTACTACGGTTTGAGATTGGCTGAGTAGTCCAAATTGGCAAGTAACTTGTTTGGTTTTGGTTTTACGACACTCAATTGAAAAACTATTCTATGGAAATGGTAACAACAACATTTGTAGGGGTAATGTAACCAAATGGTGAAGGTGACCTAAATATGTGTAGATGTGGATTACCATATTGTAGAGGGCTGGGGAATGGCAATATTAGTGGATGCTTTGCAAACCAGCTGTGCCAATCTTTTAAACCACTAAGATTCAAAAATGCTTCACTGTGTTATTTACAATAACCATAGCAGGACATTGATTTGGAAAACAATGAAGAAAATCGGTTGGCTGCAGGACCCAGCAATTATGCAAGTTTGCAGCCATCATGTTATCACAGTGTGAATTCGTTTGTAACTCGGTAAAATTTTGATGTACTTTCCATGTGCTGGATGACGGGATGTTTCATGTTTTGTGTGTGGGTTTTTTTTTTTTGTCTTTTTACAACAGTAAATTCTGACAAGGAATATCAAATTATCATTCAGTGCAGTAATTTCTTCCTTTTCATTGGCTTAGTGCCCACCACGTGACCTGGAAATAACTGCCTAAAAATAATGTTCTGCTCATGCACAATACAGTCTAAATGTGTGTTGCTGCAAATAATATTTTTCTCATGCGAAATAAAATTACTGCAACCACACTATCGTGAAAAATGGCAGCTTGCTTCCCTGAGCCATCAGAGAGTGATTTAAATATGAAAACAAACTTGGTGATCGGATAATAGCACAATTATTGAACTCAGTTATCACAAGCCATCGTGATTTGTCAGTGTCTCAAAGATTATTAATTTGCCTCGGCCTTCAGCTTTGGCAAATAATTGATCTGCTTTCCACTGACAAATCACATATTTTGCTCAACCTCATCCAATATGGTATTTGCAACAAAATACATCTATTTCCTCAGTTTTCTTCCGTTATCTGACCGGTAGAATAATGTATTGATAACACAGTGACAAGACGTTTTAAAAATCCAGAGAATTGACATGAGAACCCCTTTGGCAGGGCCACTGCTACCCAAACACAATTATATCCTGTGTCTGTTTTGCTGCTTTTTGTGATTTTATCATGATGAAAAAGTGGTAAGTACAAATTATTGAGTAGAAAAATAACTATACAAAGTTTTTTCAAGTGATAAAAGTTGCAGGTTAGTTTTCTTGTATGATTTGCAACTGCATTAAGAATTTCAAGGGTAGATCCATCAGTGCAATTATTTGTCTTGAAATTAATTATGAATAAGCAAGTCATTTCAGTGCCAATATTTGTTAAAATGACACTGACAGCAAATGCCACCTCCAGCAAATTAGACAGCAAATGTTGACCCTTTTTTCCATTAGTGATTGTGACAGGAAACTAAGTACGTTTGACAAGAAGGGGCTTCAATCTCTTGGAAAGAGACCAAAAATTTATTAATAGCATTCTGAAAACTCATGCTTTGAAACAATTTGTTGATCTCATGAATTAGGAACAATGCAGCATGAATGAATGTTACGTAACAGATGATGCTAAAATTAACACTTCGCCAAAATTTGAATACTGCAGAAATGTGAAGCCACTTCTGAGTAGCCAGTTTACCTGGAAATTCCATTTTTGAAGTATGTAGGCCAACGTTTGTGTGTCTCTTTACAGAAATATTATTGGTATCCTAACAATACCAAATGATGAGAACAGAGATCAAACAATGGCATACCATGGGTACCCAGGCTGTAAGGACCTTTTGTCCTCTTTCTGGCTACTGTTCTGCTGTAAATTTTGCTTTGAAACAATTCCTATTGGGTTTTTAAGGCAATCAAACACGTTGCAACGTTGAGGTGCTGTGTTAAAATTAATTGTAGATCAAGGTTATCAAACATTAGGTGATGCATGAACTATTTGACATAGCTATCTTTGGAAATGACATGCACATTGCAACGACACACTGGGAATGTACAGCAAAGAAAACAGAGATTTCTTTGGAAAAGTAGAAATATTTACTTCTCTTCTTCCCTAAACTTACATTTAAAATGAACTCTGGTCTGCTTTCTCGGGGATAAAATTTCATCCTGATAATTTCATCATCATGAATGAGAATAGCTAAACATGCATATATACAAGGTGAATAATAAAATTGTACCTAACTGCACTCGTATATACAGAAATAAAATTCAATTCTTTACAGCGTTGTTATGTATAACTTAACTTTTTAGATCATATAATTGGTTCTTTTCTTCCCAAAAAAATAGTGTTCATTTCGTTGTTTGTTCGAATCACTATCCATTGAGCTTTATACGTAGATGTACACGTAAGAGTCGAAACGATTTACACTTGATGAAAAGCAGAAGTCCACTGCGAAAGCATCACAGTTGGTGTGATTACCTTAAAAACACTAAAAGACCTCCTAAAAAAGTGCCCCAAAAGGCATGGAAAAAATATAACATTTCGTGGTAAACGAAAAATTGTTTAGAATTTATATGCTGAATTGAATTAACTTATAGAAATTATCTTCCAACTATTTTCGGCAACACAGTTCTGGTGTTAAGTTTAGCTGAGTCTGTAACACCGCGTCCATCGTCCAAAATTTCCCCTATTTGTCTTCGTGGCTTCGCTTTCCCTGATGTAGGAGCAGCTGGTGGGAGCTTGGCTACAGCCGATCCAGAGTTGTGCCGGTGGTAAGGCTTGTTGTCGGTTGCGTTCGAGTCGGGTGCTCGAGGCAAGCGCCTTCGAAGCCACGGGTGTCGAAGGGCTTGTGATGGAGTCATACGTTGCGCAGGGTCCCATTCCAAGCACCTCTGAAGAAAATCAATGAACTGCGTGTCTTCACAACCTTTCAAAGCAGTTGTGAATTTCTTAGAGCCAGGTGGGCCTCGCGTCTTTCCGTGCCGGGAACGGCCACCAGTCAAAACTGTGCTTCCATCTGGCAATGTTGTCGCTGTGCAATACCTCGGATGTCCTTTGGAATTGATGAAGTTCTTCGTTCGCTTTGAATTGTCTAATAACTTCTGAGGAGGCATGCCTAGCAGTTCAATGATACAAGCGAGTTGGTCTCCTTCGTCTTCGCCAGGGAACAAAGGATATCCTGTCAAAAGTTCAGCTAAAATGCAACCGAAGCTCCACATATCAATCGCCATACCATACCGAGCTCCAAGTATGACTTCAGGTGCGCGGTAAAACCGGCTTTGAATGTACGTATAAATACGTTGATGTTCGTAGCAGCTTGAGCCAAAATCGATAACTTTAATTCCACTCCTGCCTTGCTGTTTCAGAAGAATGTTCTCTGGTTTTAAGTCACAGTGAATGATCCTGTTTCGATGAAGTGCGTCGCTGCATTGAAGAATCGAGTACGCGAATTTCCGTACCAGCTGAACACTAAAACCTTGAAATTTGTTCTTCTTTATAAGTTCGTAAAGATTCATACTCAACAACTCAAAGGTCATACAAACATGTTCACGAAAATTGAAATTGTCAAGCATGTGAATTATATTGTGGCTGTTGTCTTTGTCTTGCTTTTTCAAATGTTCTAGAATCCTGATTTCTTCTTTTGCTTGTCTGTGGAATCGCTTCTCATTCCGGACCATTTTGAGCGCCACATTAGTTTGAGTCTTGTGATCGTAAGCTTTTACAACTTGTCCAAAGCTTCCTTTACCGATAATCTTGACAACTTCGTAGCGGTAAGCGATGTGATCATGTGGAACTTGGATATACGAGCCCTGATCGTCATCATAGCCTCCGTTATTCGCGCCACCAACCACACCCTGACGTTTCTTAGCATTTGGTCCAACAAACCAGATTTGGGGATAATTAAAGATTTCATGATGTTCGTAGCTTGTTAGTTTGTGCATGAACTGTTTCATTGCCTGTTCTGGACTCATGGGTAGCCCTCTTGACTTCAGCGTTCCCGAGCCATTAGCGCTGGATCTCCTTCCCGACGAAGGCGACGCATTCCCGGATACCGAGATCGGGCGATGGACGGCTGGAAGAGCTTGTATTTCATTCGCGATCTTGCTCTTGTTCTGCTGGTTTGTTTCTTCTTCAAACAGCTGTTGTACCTGAACTCCCCCAACAAGCGGTAGAGCTCCAGAAACGCTAGATTCATGGGCCTTTACATTGCCTTTCGTTGACGGTTTCAATGGTGGTAGCACATCCGCGTTGCCATTTCTGTCCACATAAATTGCATCTCCTCCCGTTCCCCTTTTAGAAACCGCTAATGGTTTCCTTTGACTAGTAGTTATCATCATGTACTCTCGATGTTTCAATCGCAGCCAGTATATCAGCGTTCTGAAATCCCAAAACGCTGCTTCGAAGTAATCAAGCCTCACAAATTGCTTTCTCTTTTGTCAGCCGCATTTGATGTTGTTTCGTTGCGTCGTTGCCAGGTAATTTTTAACCAATCAACGCGCTCTTTTGCGGCGTCTTGGAAACCACAAGACGTAAACAAACCAGTTCGCCGTGACGTCATAGTATGAACGTATTTTTTACGATCTTTCTGAAGATTTACATGTAAATTCTCTTTCGTCACGCTTTAAAGAAATATTGCATTTTGCTTTCAACAGAAAGATAACAATTGAGCTTAATGCGGTTTTAACACAATTAATGGATTTGGTAAAATATATTGAATATATTCACTTGCACTTGAGCTTATCGAAGACCCAGCTTATTTGATATACGGGATTTCATTGTTTAGTGCATTTACTTGAAAGAAAGCGTATATTTCCTGATTAGCAATTATGTAGCTTTACACTAAAAAAAACACGTATCAAAGTTCTCTCTTTTTTAAATTGATATTAAAGCATTGAGTTACAACTACAAAAAATTCATACTGCTAACACTAAAAACATAACTTTCGTAGCATGTCAAGTTATGTTTGCTCACAAGTCGGATGATTTCATCAATCGTAGAAAAAAAAAATCGTTGAAAAAAATGATTTTTTTCAAACCTTAGAAAATGTTTCAAAATGATAGTTATTTTCATTACAAACAAAAACTTAGGAGTCCACAGCTATTCAGTTTGTTTTATGTAAAGGAAATTAATGTCTTAAATCATTGGGTCAATATAGAACCAATTTAATTAAGTAATTTACAATCCTCAAGTGTGTAAACCTAGCCTCTGTTAAATTTAATTTGCCCTCACCACAGGAAGGACCAAGAAGGACAGAGATGAGGTAAAGTTATCAGTGATTACTCTGAATTACAAACAGCTAGAGTTGTGTGATAGCATTTCATTCAAATGAAAATCACCAATTCTGGCAGCATGTAAGAGGCCTTTTTAAAGTGTAGTTGTAGTTCATGTAGTTCAGAAATGTTAAGTTGAAATGTAATCTAATACTGGTATTCATAATGAAATCAATTTGATATTTTTTAAGTTGCACTTTTCTCCAGTTTTATTTATTTTCTTTTTTGCATAAGTCTAACTGACGTATATGTACTGACTTCTAGCATAATGTGTTAGTTAATAGACCAATTTCAATATATTAAGATTTAGCCTAACACAATGGACCTCAGCATGAGGCTCTGGGGAATAAACCCCACAAACTCTTTAGTTATTCCCCAGAGTCTTGTACTGAGGTCTATTGTTTTAAATAATATATCAAAATTAGTCTATTAGTGACACTGATTCAATGAAATGAATTGATAACACAATAATTATTGTAACAATGTGGATGTGGATTTGTATGTAGAAAAGGAATAGCAAATGTACAACTACCATAAAGGGTACAATATTGATTCTGTAAGTTCTCTTTATGCATTAAATAAAAAAACATATAATTTATATGAAAAAAAAGAAGAGTAAGGTTATCTTTGGATATGTTTAGGAAATAAATCTTCTGAAATCTTGATCATTCACTGGTTGGCTTTGGAGACAAAATTTAAAATGGGAAGAGAAAATCTAGGGATGCTTTCCTACGGAAGCCCGAGTAAAAACCACAAGACTGTATTATAAAAGTGACTACGCTTTTGTCAATTGTGCTCGTAAAACTGGCATATTATGCTCCTAACACTGCTCAAAATTTTTGGNTATGCTTGTTTCTCTAAATTGTTCTCCTTGCATCAAAATTATGCCACTTGGTTTTTAAGCAAAATAAAGATAAAACAGGGCGAGTAAACACAAAACAAGGAATAACGCCATTTGGAACTACCGTTTTCTACATTTCTAAGCATCCTAGCTTGACTTTGTATTAATTTTGGTTATTTCTTGACTTTTCAAGAAAACAGTGAGATCCAAGATGGCAGGTCAAATGATGTCATTTCACGTCGTAAATAGCAAAGGGCTATCTAATCTATGTAAATGTATTTCTTTGTGCCTTAACAGAACGAAACCCTAGGGGAGGGGTTCCATCAACCCCACCACCCCCTTGTACTATGGTGGGGGTATGGACTGGGTTAATTCGCTCTGACTTAAAGACGGTTTAAGTAAACACTCCCAAGAGATGGAAGCTCTCTGTATGACATTGTAGGCTGCTGAACTATCTGAACTGGAACTTGGGAAGCACTCAAATCTGACAATGAGATCTTAGAGCTCAGTCAGGCTGAGTCAGCTCACTACTGAGCCATATGCACGGGGCCTAAGACCAAGAAACATCACACTGACCCTGGGCGGCCCAAAGACAACAGTAACAGAAGTTTTAAGAAACAGAAAAAGTAAAAAGAAGTATATTCATGACAAAATTATGTCATTTCGTGAAGGTCAGAAAAGCCACATTACGCTAGCAGTGCTAAATTGAGATAAAAGCTAAAAATTATGCTCGGTTTGCTAAAGTATGCCAAAAATTATGCTAGCACAATCGACAAAAGCCTACAAGGCAGTGCCAGAACCACAAAAAGTAGTTCAGAAAGAATCCCCTGGGGTCAACCCAAGCTAACAGGAGGAAAAGGAACCAAGAGTTAAGCAATCAATCTTCACCACTTTTTCTTGGGAATAACTGCCTATAATGGCCAATACAGGGAGGCTCTGCCTGAAAGGGGTACTGTTTTCAGGCTTCTGGTATATAAAAGGGTAGAAATGAGACATTTTTCAAAAAGACACCCCTTATGGCTGTAACATTTCATTTGTTTTACACTACATGAAAATGATAACAAGACTAAATGAATAATACGGACCAGTTATGGAAAGTATGTGAAAAGGGGTACCTTTTTTCAATCAAAGGTATGCAAAAGGGGTGTCTTTTCTGTCCCCATCCCCATGCCCAGGTGGAATCCGCAGGAGAATATTAGAATGAGTCAAATTCCTCCATGTCCAGATGGCATTCCCTTCAAATACAAATCGCCCATAAACTCTCCCCCAAAATGCATTGTGGTGATCAATATTCCCAAATCTTTTGAATTTCTAACAGTCCCAACACAGCGACAGGAACAGAGGTTGACCGAAGAACCCCTGCAACTAGTGATATAAGTCATATAAGCACATTTAGGCGCCACTTATCCTTTATGACATGAAAAAGAGAAAAAGCTCTCAGTTGTCACTTACCATACATTGTAAGAACAATGCTTGAAGCAATTCTTCCGTTGTGTGCCCAAAAAAGTATAAATTACAGCTGTATTTTTTAAATCTCGGCAAAGACCCGCGCTGTGGTTGCCAGGCATTGTCGGGCGTCCTACCAACGTCCTGCCGGGCTCTCGCCAGGCCTTTGAGCACACAGTACTCATTATTTGTAATTCCGCTGAATACCGCTGTTTTCAAGATGGCAGACAAAACGGACTTGAAACTGTACGTTTGTCTCTGAGCTTATTTATCCATATTTTGGTGGCTAAATATTGTTTGATTCTATCTATCTATTTTATGTTGTGTTCAAATAGTTGCTTCCCTACGTTCTAGGGAAATTTCTGTGCCCTTTACGACGGAATCTGAAGCACAAATTGCCTGCAACTCTCTTTCTGTTGACCAAGAACCGAAACGTGGAGGAGCAAAGAAAATGCTCACTGTGAAAGGAAATGTACTACATGTGTGAGTATTATTAAAGTTTCACTTGATTTCTCTCTGAACCAGACCACGTTTGTCATTTCAAGTAGGTAAGATTTCTGTGTAGGCCCATTCCATTTTATCCAATTGGGTAAGGGGACAGGGGTTTGCTCGAGGCGGGAGTTGAATTTGTCCGAGGGGTAAAGAGAATTCGAGATATCTCTATGGAAGAAGGGAGGCAAACTATAGCTGCGTTTCTTTGGGGTGATCACGATCAGTGATCCAAGATCTGTCTGGATCGTGGTGCGTCAAAGAAACTGATGAATCCATGACCAGAATGGATTCATCGGTTCTTTTGATGCACCATGATCCAGACAGATCTTGGATCACTGGTCCTGATCCAGGTCACCCCAAAGGAACGCACCCATATATGTCAGCACGTTTACTTCTTTTCATGGGGGAAAGTTAACTGCCTCCTCGATCAATAGTGGAGTGTATATGAGCCCATGAAAAACTAGGATTTTATAGTGGGACCACTACTGGTGAAAAAACTGAAAAATAGAACAATGAATCGGGAACCGTATTGTAAAGAAATAAGTGACATTGAAGCATCCAGACAATAGTTCTACAAAAAAAAAAATCAAACCAAGATGAAGGTCTGTTTCACTTGAATTACTATACTAGACACCTCTATGACTGTAGTGTATAGAACTCTACAGATCCCATCCTTGGTGGGGAGTTATCGTAATTATTTACATTTACTATAAAAATTTAGCTTGAAAACTCATTTTGTGACAGCCAGCCTGACATGTTAAAAAAACTGCTCACAATATAGGGTTGGAAACTGACCAATCAAAAAATGATAAAGTTTCTTGACAAGCCCCCAACATGGTGAAACTTTTTTAAGGTTTCAAACTTTGTTGGATATATATTATTTGTATTCTTCAATGTTATTGGTTTGTTTACAAAAATGTTGCCATCGTTTGTTCTCAATTATGGCTGGGTTGAAGTAGTTGCACTGCAATAAACCTGCATAATTTTTTAGCAAATAAATCATTTCTTTGATGCATACAAACATGTGACTATCCATTATTGAAAGTATTGGCTACAAACATGAGATAAACAGAAACAACTCTTTTTAACTTTACAGAACAATACTGTCCTCTGAAGCCAAGACACTCAGAGTTTGTGCAAATGGCTTCCTTGATCATTTAGCTTTAGTAACTGAGACAATTGAAGCATTTGGACCTCCTCTGGAAGACTCATGATCTTTACCTGTGGTGTAGCAAATCAGTGGTCAGGCCCTACAAATAACTGTGCTCACTTGCAGTGTATGTACTCTCTTGTGTTTGACCCAATGCTGTCAGAATGATCCACCTGGTCACCAAGTTAAATGCTCTTTGATACAACAAACTTTGGAAAACTGCCATTTTTTCATTAGTAGAACAGAATAATAAGCTTAAATTCAAGTACTTCTCTCAGGAAAACTCTCAAGCAAGAATGTGGAGAGTACCATAAAGATTTGATTTAGTGCCCTCCTTCCAGAAAGTGCACCCTTTCTAATAAGCATTTCCCATTGAACACCAATTTTCTAGTGCAGAGTGCACTATTGGGATGGTTTAGGGGGCCGTTGTCCACTAAGCCGCTAACGCCATAATGTGTTTAACTTTAATGTTTGTTTAATTAATTAATTTCAATTAATCAATTAGCCTTGGTGGAAGGGGGGGCTAGGTGGGGTAGGTACTCGAGTGCATTACACAAAACATGTCATACTTACGTTGGTTTCTTGAAAACATGACAAAGCTATATACATGTTTTTGCAAATCTCTTGCTATCCTTGTGGTGCTATTCTCTTAAGAACAAATAAAGCAGTTTGCTCGAAATGCGTGCGCAGATAAGTTAGCCTTCAGTGTCGACCACTAGTCCAGTTCTGGCCCTCTCTCTGTCCCGCAACGCTACCGTAGCGTTGCTTGACAGAGAGAGGGCCAGAACTGGACTATTTTGACCAGGGATAGCAGCTGTATTTCAGGTAACGTCATTCTACCTTTTTTAGTGCAAATAACACTACTGTAACTGTGTATCTTCTGGAATCACCCCTAGCTCGATTCAAGAAATTTTGTCTGTTCTTTTATAATTATTGTGTGTTTGCTAAGGTTCAAATAAAGAATGCTTTTCCTTAGCGGCTTGTTTATTTCCTCTTCTATGAAGGGAGCAAAAACTTCATATTCAGCCAAAACTTTCCTGCATTAGTTACATGTTTGACGTGAATGAGATCGAACTATTCCGTGACTGGACGTGACTATGTTATAATTAGATTACCGGTAATGAAAATTTGTGTTTTGAATAAAACAAAATCATTCCTCTTCGATATTTCATCAGGTATTTAGCATTATTCCATTTATCTCTAGCAGTAAGTAAAAAATACACATCTTTCTTATATTTTCGAGGAAACAAGGGTATGATGTTGCATAGCTTGGTGAGGAAAACAAAAGACAGTATCATTGGCATGAAAAGTGAAATTGTCATATTTGCTTCTGTGTCTTACTGAATTTAAAATGACCTAAACTCAGGGTAAAACATGGCAATAAAATTCAAAGCCATCTTGCCAAACAGTAATTGTAAGTTATTTTTGGGCCTTGAAAGAAAATACAAACATGAAACATACACAATGCCAATATTACCTCTTATCAAGTTTTTCTCCGCCCCTATCCTGCAAGGGGAAAAGGCCTAGTTGACTACTGAGGGAGAGAATGGCATGGGTGAGGACCTATATGACTACTGTATCAGAGCGGTAAATTGCACTCTGCACTATCTGAGATCGTCTCATTAGTTTTTGTAAGACTAGTGCTCTTATTCCTATTACAAGACTCCCTTTCCAATAAATACCCCAAAGCAAAGCTGGCATTTAAGACAATGACAAAGAATTATTTTAGACCGATAAGAAAAAATGAATTATGAAGTCCGCTTGCTCATCTGAACATAATATTGAGTATTAACTATCAGAGCTCCTTTTGTTGCATTCTCAAGTAGTATTTTTCTACATTCAGATGTATAGGTCCAAAAAAGAAATACCAGTAAATGCTTCCTCTCCAAAAAATTAGTGTTCCGTGCACTACATCAAATTTTTATCTGATGGTATTTGAGGATATCTCAAAGAAAGAATATCTGTGATGCCAGCTTTTGTTATTTAATATGCACCAATCAAAAAAAATTTGGCCGATGAAACAAACTTCTTTTGTTAAACTTGTTGGGCATTAATTTTGTATATAAAAAAAGTTTGTAAACAAATATTTCACCTATAATGATATTACATCATGTTAAATTTGTGGATGCTCAACATACAATGTTACATGTAAATAAATTAACACAACACAGTGAAATAATACTACAATGTCATTTTTATTACATTGTGTGAGTTTCTCCCTTGTAAAGGGTTCTTCAGACAGAATTAAGAAATGTGTGAAAATCAATAGCGTATTCAAATTAACTTCTACTTTAGTAACTAGCTTTCATTTAAACCTGTGATCAGGCTGTAACTATCCACAGCGGTATCTTGAAGATATCTGTCGATATTATAGCTTGATACACTGCCAATATTATGCTCTTCTTTCCTGGAGCAAACTAAGATTAGGGGAGGGGAGGGTGTGGGGAAAGAGGACAAAGGCAAAGAAAGAATTGTGGGGTTTCTTCAAGCCTAATCACAGGTTAATTTTGGTTATCTTTTCAATATACTACTAAAATTAATATTACTAGAAAAATAATTAGCCCTAAAAATAATTAACAAGCCCTAAGAATAATACTTAAAGTATATGGTACACTGCTTTAAGCAGAACTTTCTCTATGTATTAGGATGGTAATAAAACTAATTTTACTTCCTGTCCCTACATTGGCAAAAAAAACCTATTGTTAAACATTCTATTGTTAAATATCATACCTAATTCTAACCAAACATTTGTACCATTTTATGTCCATATGCTACAATACACAGCAGCACAAGTCACTTTTCTGACTTGGGGTTCTGCATGTACATTATTTTCCTGTGTGTTATCTAGTCTATGAATGAACCAGTGAATAGTGGTTGATCCTAGTGAAATGATAGTATTTTTCAGGGAAAATGATAACTGGACAACAATTCACATTGAAGAGAATGTCATAACTGATACTGATTCAATGATACCTTCATTTCATCGACATTTTGAGTATTGTGATAAGTTTTGTTTTGCAAATGGAATAAAAAAAATAAAACTACTGATCAACAATCAACATTGTTACCATACACAGCCTGATTAAAAAGTATGAAAAAAGTGTCCTTGTTTTTCGGCTGGGTTTACCCCATAATTCATGGTACATCAAGAAAATGCCACTAGCTGGTGCTTTTGTTATTAGAAATGTAATACCATTGTATGGAGAAATTCAGTATTGATCACAACTGGATTTACCTTCACAAACATTGCTTCTCCATCAGCAATCATGTTATCCAAGAACACAGCAGAAGATAATACAACAGTACACTGTAGCAATGCTACACACAGTTGAAACCCGCCAACTTTAACTCTTATGGGGGACAAAAAAATAGTTTGAGATGTCAGGGGTTCAAGACAGCACATAGTGAGTGACTGAAAAAGTATATCCAAGAGAAAATGATTTGACTTCAAGATAATAAAATGCGAGATAGCAAGGTTCAACTGTATAACAATCACCAATAAAAAATTAAATTTTAAGTGTAGAAAAATTTACACACCCGAGTATTTTTCTTGCAAAATGACAAACACCTGACACTTGTTTCTGTAAGGTGGCTGTTTAAACTAAAGGAGCCTCAAATTTTCAGGCAAAATATAAAAGTAAAATCACCCAAAGCTTTTGCATTATAGACTGCCAATATATGAAATCTTTACAACATTATTATAATGATAATTATTATGTTCTTGTCCAGAAAAAGAATGCTGTGCATGTAAAGTAACTTGAACATTTGGTAGAAGAGTCTTGCAATCAAGCTTCATTCACTGAAAATAATGAGACATTATTAGTAAAGGGTGTATTAATTATAGCTAGCAAAAAAAGACTGGGGGTTTGTGAGTGAGGGGGGGGGGGGGGGGGTATGACCATTATAGTGGCAAACCAAGAAAGTTAACTTGCCTACCATTATTAATTTAAAAAAGTCATCAACTTTGTTTAAGTTTTATTTAGAAACATTTTTTTCTCAATTCTCCCATGAGCTAGGCCTTTTTTGTCATAATTATTTTCAAATGTCTCCAACCATTTCCTGTACTAGTTGAAATCAACTGGATGGGCTAGCACTGAACACAACGCATTTAAGGAGGTCAAAATTAAAGCTAGTCTTATTTTCTTGCTTTTTTTTTAACAAGCTTGTAATTTTGTATGTTTATATTTTAAACAAAATAAAATACAATTGACAGAAGTGAAGAAGCTAGTCATAAAAGGGGATAAGTGACGATTTTGGTTGCTTTTCTTTTTTCTTGCTCCAAATTAGCTGAATTTTTGCATGTGGTCTTCAA